AATATTACTCATTGTCTCTCTTCCAGTAGTTAAGGCTTATATAAACATCAGTGTATTTCTGCTCTTAATAGGAAATTAGAAACACAAAACATAATTAAGCGTTTATTTGGAAAAAATCAAGGCAAATTGAGCTTTTTTCAACAATATACACTTTGTTTTATGTAATTGTTCTAAAGAACTACAATATAAGGTCATCCACAAGGATCTGGGATAGAAGCATAAGAGAAAACAAAGTCGAAAAATAAGAGTTTGAGATAGGGGAAGAGAGTGCTGATCAAGTTTTAAACATGAGGTTTAAGGAAGACGAATGATTAGTTTATATAACTTACGAAAACTAATTCATTTTCAGTTTTTTTGACAGTAATAAGTAATTTTAAAAAAACACGGCACTTATTCTTCAAAATGTGGAAGGGTAATAAACATTTTAATTAAATATTTCTTTCTTAAGGTCACACTGAAGTGGCGAAGACACTGCTGGAGGCTGGAGCCGATTTGATGACCAAAAATAATTTTGAGGAGACACCGCTGGATAGTGCAATTAATAAAGGACAAATTCTTATCGTGAAATTGCTTCTTGACAACGGAGCCTTAGTAGAGCCGCCTCCAACACTTCGGTTAGAGACACCTTGCAACTTTATTTTAAAAATTTTTGGAGAACAGTAATGCTGTTATATCACTTGGAAAGTCACAAAGGATATCAATTTGCAGCATTTTATGCACTTCTAGCTCTCTTTTCAACAGAAGTAAATTTTTTTTATACTGAGTGCTTTGAAGATAACTCGCATCTTCGTACAAGAAATTATATGGCTTTGAGAATGGTTTATGAAGAAGAATTCAATTGTGTGATTACATATACAGTTAGTTGTTTCTAATCGGTCGATTAAATGCCGCAATTTAAGAGCTACAACTCCGTTACATCGGGCAGCTAGTGAAGATCGGGCAGAAATTATAAACCTTTTATTGTCCAAGAACGCCCAAATTGACAGGTTGGACAGCGATGGGAGAACATGTCTTGATATTGCCATTGACAAAGAGCATCAGTTAGTTTTTTGACAAATTACCTTTCAATTCTTCATTTTGCTGCGAAATTGAGGAGACACACCAGTTAAATAACGCTTTGAAATTTTTTGAGCTATGAGAATCCTCATTTCGGCTCTGGTGATTATGCAGTTTTTCTTGTATTATGGTTTCACAGTAAAGAAGGCGAAAGTTAACGAGCTCTAATTGCTTCAAAAATTATGCTGTAAAGGTGTAAACCAAGTAAAGAGTATTATATGGGAGAAGAAGAATCAAAAGACACAAATTTTTTGAAAGATAGTTTTCTTAGTTTCTTGAGGACTTTATACTTTACGTCGCTGGAAACAGAAAGATGAAGAAGACCGTTTGTGAAGTGTTGCTTCAGAAGCCTCTTTAGTGTCTGTGAGAAGGATTAGACAAGTGGTTTATTTATAGTTTGAGAGTGAAGTTAATTGGGTGGTTACAGCAGAAAATAAAAGTACGAAAATTTAATTCTAGTAATATAATATCTCTTAACTGATTTTTCCCAAGCGTCATCTTTCTTTTATGTAAAGCTACAATGCAATAAACACGTCTCACTCAATTTGCCTATAAAACTGGAAGCAGATAGTTAGCAGCACATTGAAATCAAAGTAATTTCAGCAAATTCAACTTTGGTTAACATATCTACGTTTTTCAAGACACTTATTGACTTTAAAAACCTGAAACAAAGGTTTTTTTCTTGTAGGGATTGTTGTATGGCAATACTGAGACATGAAGATTGGCTAGACGTGATGCATGCATCTAAGCACAATTTACTGACAACTGGTCAAACACCTATGCGATTACTCATTCGAAGGCTTCCAAAAGTTGCTGAATTTGTTTTCGACAAATGCGTTAGGTAAATGTTCTAAGTGATACTTTAGGAATTGGTTTTTCACAACAGCAATTTCTTTTTTGTTCAAAATAGAAAAAGAAGTATAGTGTTCAGATAGAAATTAAAATTTAGAATATTATAAAAATAAGAAGTAAAATCTCTGAAAAGTCAAGCAGAGTAAGATTTTTTTAGAACAAAAAATAAACCCGATGAAGAGGATTTTACAGTATGGTGCAATTATGAGTTTCTTGATGATTCCTTAATAATTCCTAAGCCATTACAGGAACGGAAGGACTCGTACGGTGCAAGTAACAAATTTATTTCAATGTTTTTCGTTGAAAAAGTCGCTTTTTATTTGACTTAAAGTTTTTAACTCATATTGTAAATTTCATACACATATACGTTTCTTAAGAACGAAAAAGAAAAAATATTATTTCAATATAAAAACTTGTGCAGTTTATATTTTTGATTAATTAGTGCAAAGTTTTGTGGTGAACAAAAGTTTCTTGAACACTTATAGATAGGTTTGAGCCTTTGAAATTCAGGAGCACGTATGGATAAGGACGAAAAAACGCAGTTGTTTCACGCTAAATTGTATACTACAGACCACGAAAAGATTATATCTAATCACCCGCTCAAAATAATGGTAATAGTGTAAACTCATTACAGAATATGTTGAATAATTCACAAGTAGCTTAAAATGCTAATTCACTGACTTTTTAATTTTTTCTTCTCGTTTACTTTTTTTTTACATTTCTAACTGCCTTTTCGTTAAGATCTTTATCAGAGGTTCTGCCTTATATCAGCATAGCATACAGCAATATTATTCACAGTTCAGGTTACTTATATTTTAAAGATAGTGACTAAGAGATGTTTTGAAGAGTTTTGAAAAGTTTCTCAAGGTTTTTAAAGGTCTAAAGGTTATGCATTTGGTGACAATCTTCACAGAAATTTTGCTGTTTAGGTGGAATGCCAACGATTAAATTTGCTCTCCCATCCTCTTGTTGGTTATCTTCTTCGACATAAATGGAACGCTGTTGGACGTTACATGTATTATGCAGGTCTTTCCCTCTACCTAATATTTTTATTACTACTAACATTATTCGTCACTTCACAACCAGCACCATACAACATCAATGAAGTACAAATTATGAACATCTCATATGAAGAACTTGTTGAAGACAAGGCTGCTTGTTTGTTGTTGGTCAGTTTACAGCTAAAATTGATATTCCTATTATTATCGATAGAAAAGTCAAAAAAAAAGTTTGTTCAACACATTATAGCGCAATCTAAAGGCAGCTTTCTGGATAAGACAGATTTTCAGGATCAGAGAAAAAGTAACCTGAGCTTTACTTTTGTTCCGCCCTTGATAATTATATTGGCTGCAGGACAACTTCTAAAAGAGGTATTTTGTAACTGTCTGAAATATTCATTTGTCAAACAGTTGTTTGTAAGTGTGCTTTTTTACTTAAAGTGTTCGACAAAGAACAATCAACTACTTAATAATATCATACAAAAAAAAATTAGATTTGCCACCTTAGTATTCAAAATAAAGCGAATATTCACAAGCTAGGAATTACTGTAATATTATATTTTTAAAAGATTGCAGAAAATAACTGTATGGTCATATTTTGTTTTATTAATGACAATCCAGGATATATAAACATAAATTACAATTATTCTTATCTTCTAGGGCTTTCAATTTTACCAACATCACTCTAGTTATTTCACCTCGGAAAATATCTTGGAGCTTAGCGTCTATGCTATGTCGATCCTCGTGGTTGTTGACTTCAGCGAGTGCTCACGCATCACTGGTCTTCGAATGGTTTGCTTTTGATACCCACTGCAAAAAAATCAACCTTGAAATGCTGAAAACAGCAAAGAAAAATTTATTACAGGTTTTAACGAAGCATTAATATTCACCTGACTAGCTTCTTAAGAGTAATTCCAATAAATTCCAAGTAGCTTTTGACCGCTTTCACAAAGTTCACATCATACTTGACCTTCAAAGCGCCGGTTTTACTACTTCATTGAAGTAAAGACTTTTGTATAATTATGACAGTGTTAAATAGCGATTTGAATAACGCCGAGATTAAAGCCTGCCAGCCGCGATTTCTTAGTCAGTACGCTTAATTTTAAGGTCACTTCGAAGCTTTTTAGTGTGACAATTCCATGCATATGTTAGAGAAAGAATTTTCCAAAAAAGCCTATTTTCTTAACTGCTTGTGTTAAACTGGCTGAGATCCTTCCTTAAAAACAACAAACTAATTGGCAACCTGTTTCTGAATGATGACCGGGACACGTGTGAACTGACACAGGGATATATAAGACTTCTGCGGTGCTGTTTTCGGTACTGTCAGCAAACAGGATAGAAAAAAAAAATTAAAATAGCTTTTGCAAAACCCCATCGTTAAAGTTGACTTGTGAAACCATAGGCATAAGGAGTCACTCGTAGTTCATTCAGCCATTTTTATGCGATGTGTATATAACGCATTATTCGGGCGCGCAATCTTGCCTTGAAAGGCTCACGTTTTTGAATAGGAAGGACTTTTTCATTTCCCATTTTCAATTTGAAGCTAAAGTTTTAAATAACGCGGTAGAGCTTCGACTATGATAGAATTTAGCAGATGAAAACTCATGCATGAGAAATGAAACAACCAAAAAAGTACAATTATAAACAGTTTTTTCTGCACGTACGTGAATTATTGGAAAAATGCGTTTGGAATAAAATACATCATTGCAAAAAAATTAATAAATTTATTTTTATAATGTTCGCTACCTATTTCAATTTGTTTGCAAATGATAGCAGTTATAGCACTGGCAGTGGATTCTTGCTGGCCTTTGCGTATTTTTTGGATGGATAAATCTGCTGTTCATGATACGGAAACTGCCAAAATTTGGCATCTACGTAGTGATGTTTATCGATGTTCTGAGAACATTTGTACAGTTCTTCGTGGTATTTGTGCTGTTCCTCGTTGCATTTTCAATGTTATTCTACATATGGTTTCAGAATAAGGTAATGCTTTAAAGTAACATTCTAATATTATGGTAAAATTCAATTTCGATGTTTCGAGTGCCTAAGTACTTGATACGCGAATAGTAGAAAAAGAAGGTGTACGCAGTAGGTACGAAGGTCGCTCTGCGCTTAGTTTTTGGGTACGCGTTAAGTTTCTAAACCAAAGTCACTTTCAAGTCAGCTATCGATATTACTCGTTGATTTGAGTTTCAAAAGCATAGACTTCTTATAGGAGGGGTAAAAATTATTGTTCAGTAACAGTAAACGACTAAGGATAAATTACCATCATGGAGAGCTAATAATACAGAACTACGTCTCCATATGAAATATTTAGAATTTATTTGAAAATAGAACCACAAAAAGATACGCAGATGATAAAAAAGGCAATACAGACTTTAAAAATCACGCAGACCGGAAAACTCTTTAACTTCTTTATTGAAATCCTCTGTAATTTGAAACTTTTTTTGACTTTGCTTAGGCTTTACCTTTGAAATACGGTTTTAACTTATTAGCTCTCAAAAATTATATTCGAAAATCTAAAATTATTTACTGACCGATTTTATGTATTGATTTCTATTAAATGCATTTCACACAATATTACAGATGTAAATTTTTGTAAGGCCTTTAAATAAAGTTCCTGTTAATTATATTTATTTCTACCAGGCAATTTGTCGTTAAAAGACCGGAGGTGTTTTGATTGGGAGCGGCAACAAACCGCTACTTTTTTGGATTGGCAGTTATTTCAAAGGTTATAAGAGGATAAAAAATATTAGCACATTTAACCAGTAAATACCACCACATTGACTGCTTGAAACAGGCTCCCCTTATTGCCCTTTTCCTATACTGGTGAATCGGTCATATCTCTCTCCTCATTACTCCCCATTACTCTGGGCTAGAAAGCTGTCATTTGTTTTGAAAATTTTCCGATTTGATGAGTAAATAGTGCTGTACAAGTGGTACAATAACCGCGGAAAAATCTTCAGCCAGAATATAGAGGGGTATCATGGAGCCTATTCAAAACTACTATGATGATGATTGGAGAAATGGACTATATGACAATGTTTTTTGACGGTGATTCACCCGACAAACGCGTCTTTGCTAGTCCTTGGGCAAATATTGTTATATTTTTATTCGTTATCATAATGACAATTTTGCTGATGAATTTGCTGGTAAGTCGTTTAGTGAAAAACTAACTGCTAATTGCGTTTTTATGGTTGACTTGGTTATGGCTATAAAATTTAGGTTGGTCTTGCCGTCGATGACATTAAAGTGGTTCAAGAAAAGGCTGAACTTACGAGGCTAGCAATGCAGGTTAAAATTTAAGTGTTTTTTTCAGAAGCAATTTATTCCTGTTAGCATTTTTTTTGTAATTTAGAAACAAATAAGGAAGACCTTTCCATAACTTGCTGACTTCTTGAAGATTTCTCTAGAGTTATAATGATTCAAAAACAAAAATGAATTTAGGTTGATTTGGTGCTCAGCGTTGAAAGAGCGATGTACAAAACATTTTTACCACAGTTAATACGATGGTCGTTAATTAGAAATCAGAAAATTTGTCCAAATGAAATGAATTGGTGGAGGTATATACGAAGAAAATTCGGAGGATACCGAGCCGATCGCGCTATTGCAACAGATATCTTATCCGAAGAGCTTGTATGTTTCTCAAGCAGTTCTTGTTCATTTTAAGTACGCCAAAGATGCAGCCTTTATCCTAACAGCAGAGGAAAGACCTGTAAAATCTTTCTGAATTCTCGACTGCTTTCGTTAATCTAAAATTAAATCACCTGATTATCAGAACAATTTTTTAATTTTTAAGTTCCAAGGTGGCTTTCATTCTTAAATGCAGTCTTCTTTATAGGACTTATACACTGAAGTACAAAAGGGGATTCACGAAACTCAACAGGAGCTTTTGACGATGAAGAGCAATATTGAAGAACTGAGATTCCAGCAAAGACAACAACTGTACATATTGAACAATATTATGGAGAAGTTAGATGTTGTTTTTGAAAGTCAACCAAATGCTGTACCGACTGACACTTCTTAGCGGTTTTTAAGAATGACACGTCAAAAGTGTTGTAGCTGATATGGTTTCGTAGTCTTAAATAATGTTGTCTCCTACTAGGTACAAATACAATAATTGTTATAACCCGCTAGAATTTAATAGGAACGACTTAACGAGTTAAAATTAAAAATTTTTATCTGCGGTTACTGTCTTGTTGTCATATACAAGTTTGGCCGATTCTTGAATAATTAATCTGCACTTAGTTTTGTTAAGTTGTTTTAACCGGCCATACAGTACCAGCGAATCCATGTTTTGTAGTATTGCCCACAAGTTTTTCAGTACAGGTGCTAATAATTTTACATATTAGAAAGTTAGTAAAGAAACTTGTTGTTTTTTAATTAATCTCTGTTCCACTGTTCAAGAAACTTAGAAAGATTGGATTATTTCTGAGTATCGCTGCTTTGATGTTTCTAAAGCA